CTGTCAAAAAATGCTTACAGAAGCTGCTCCAGCCGCAACTCGTGCTAAAAACTCAGAACTTCCTCCCTGCAGCGCTCTGCTGTGTCCTCACTGTCTCTCACACACACGGTTGTTCTTCTATCCTCATGGGGACTTTGCATTGACTTTCATTCATTTACTAGGATTTTCTAAAACCCATCTGACCTTAAACCTAGTCTAAACTTTATTTACCCCATGATGTGGACCAGGTTTTTGTCCCCATAAGAAACAGTGGGTCCTCACCAGGCTGTTTGTACCGGGGAAATAGTCAAAAGCCGTCCCCACCATGTAGCAAAAACAAGTACACACACCTGCTCCCCCCTTCAGTCAGGAACATTAACCCTTTAGATGCATTAAAATGTAGAAAAACATTGTTTTCATAGTGATTGGAAGTCTTTCTATGCTTGTTTTTATATTACATAACTGTTATATTGTATCTAGAAAAGTTAGTCTAATTAGAACAAAGAAATATGTTTATTTTGATTAAATCTTACAAATGGGTGTTTTTTATTTTATTGTTTTTTTAGACATGAAACTTCTTAACTCTTTACACGTACAGAGGAGATAAATACAAACTTTATTGACTCAGACACTAACTGCAGATACAATCAGAATAAGAGTCAGATTATTTTGAAACTTAAAACCCTAAAAAGATGTTCTTGGATGTATTTTGATCTGCAACATAACAAAGGGTCAAGAGTCATTCTGCAACTCCTGCTGCAGACTTTACTAGCTTGACTCAGAGCAGCTGAGTTTTTTTTCCACGCCTCTTTTAATTCCATCCTGTTCTCTGAAATCACATATGAGCGTGATGAGAGAGGGTCTGTGTTGATGATTTCTGAACTGTCAGGGGGAAAATTAAAACGTGCTGTTCATTCATTTAGTGGTTTGGTGTTCTTCAAAAGAGATTTAAACTGAGAACTCTGGACTGAGATAGTATCTGCTGTTGCACAGAGTTCTGATCACTTACAGTAATATTAACTTAATCATAGTAAATTATTATTGATAACTATCATGAGGAGTCATTAACATTAAGATGTAGCATAGTAATTAAATATTCACATACAGTATATGTAAATTGCTTATAAATAGGACTGTCAAATGATTATTATTTTTAATCTGATTAATCCCAAAGTAGCTGTGAATTAATAATGATTAATCTTAAATTTAATATACTATTGCATATTGATAAAATAAATTACTTGAGTTATTAATTAGTTTTTAATGTTTTTATTTAGAAAACAAAATCGATGCATAGACATGATTTTTTGAATATAAAACAGGACCTAAAAAATGCACCAAACATATTTGAGTCAGTGAAATTTTGTGCAGAATAATGGTTAAATCGATAACCCAAGGATTTTCATTCCAAATGAGTTCTACATGAGGAATGAAAGATAAATACTAAGGTCACAGTTGTCATCAAAACCTAAATAAATAAAATAAAAAATAAGCCATAAGAAGACAAAAAGAAAAAAAACTGTACATAATGCACACATGGAGTTTTTTTATTTAACCTTTATTTATCCAGGTAAACTGTTTGAGAACAACTTCTCATTTACAAACATGACCTGCCATGCACTGAGTGCATTGCAATTTAAAACCTACATATTCAGCCATAGTAAAGAGATTGTAAATTTTAATCGCGATTAAAATTTTTAATCTATGCCCATGCAGCACTAAAATTAATCAGAGTTAACTTGATTAATTTCACAGCCCTACTTATAAATGAATCTGAGCTGTATAAATCTGTTTTTTATCAAACAAGTAGCTCTTTGTGTACTCCCCTGAAGTAGCTCTCACTCTCAAAGGTTGGTGACTCCTGTCCTACAACAATACTCACTATGGTATTCACCATTCTGCCTTTTGGTTTTAGAGATTAGAACAGGCATTTTATGCTGCTGCTACAACTTTTTGTTCTGTGCTACAAAATCAGCAACCTCTGTAGCACCGGTGCTATGAGCTAAAAAAAAAATTAACGTACAGCCCTGCAAGGAAAACCATAACTCGTTATCACGAGAAAACCATGGAATATAATTATAAGTGGAAAACGGCCGCTCTCGGCTTCCGTAATTTATATCTGTCCGTCAAATAAATAAATAAAATAAAATTCTAACTAAATATTTAGTGAAGCAGACAATTTGAAGTAAGAATGTCTTTTTTATAAAAAATATTTTTATGTTCAACTGTTTCTGGATAATTTGAATGTCAACATCAGTGTTTTATCCTGGATATTTTTTGTCTAATTTCCGATTAGACTCAGAATTTTACTTTTTTCTAATTTATCTTTAATTTATCTTTATCTCAGTCACACACAGGCTATTCATAACAATATCCTCTCGTTAATATAGACAGACACAAAATACAACCCAACAGAAAAATATTAGGATTTTAAGTCTAAAGCTGATTCCCAAATGCATCTCTAATATCGTAATCATGTTTGTTTTTTGTCCATTAGACTGTTTTTATGTTTGTTAAGGCGAAATTACAAACAATTTTACAAATTTGAAAAAAAAAAACAAAAACAAATAAACAAACAAAAAAAACCCAAGTATTTTTACTTACAAATTCTGGCCTTCCCTGTTGTCAGAATTTGGGTAGATAGTTTGTTATTGTGAATGTTATTTATTTAGAAAAAAGGGTTCCTTAAAACTAGGCTAATTTGATGAAATTTGGAGAGTGCTAACACGCAGAAACAGGATACCCAGTTGTATCTCACATGCTTGACTTAAGACTTGCAATTTATCTGTACTGGATTGTGAGCATTGTGAATAATTTCATAGATTCTCACGAATGCATTACTCATGAAGCAGGAAATTCTCACTCAGATATTTTGACCACGCACTTTAAAACAATAGTGTATCAAAAAAGACTGGAATAAAAATGTAACAACATTAATTGTCTTAAAAGGCCTGTTGTTGAACGTAAGGACCAGTTTATACAGAAGTGAAAGTGAGTTACTTGAGGTGTATTCCCGTAATATTTTTTAGTTCAGTATTTATTTAAGTTTGAAAAGGAATGTTGTAGGAGAACCAGCGATGAAGACGAGCTGTATGTGATTACAATTATCTATTATAGGTGGTTGGATAGATACGATAGAATTTGTGACTTCTGTGTTGATTACGGTGTTAAGGATGAATATTATGTATTATTAGAACTAGAGATGTACCGATAGGAAAATTTCAGCCGATATCGATATAATTATTGCTTTTATGGCCGACAACTGATATTTACCGATATTACACAAACATACAAATTACTATACAAATATGTACAAACACACTTGGGTCCTTTTTTATTACTGTAAACAAACGACCAGACGTCTGACATAGCTCCCTACGCCAATTATTCCTGGCTGCACAGCATCAATATCACTATCACTATCGAACAGTTACCACTCAACCAACCATCTCCCATCCCAAAACAGAAACACAAAGCTAAAAATTGGGAAATCAATATCTGATGTTAATATCGACTCAGTTTTACATATCGGACCGATACTGCTATTCTAAAAAATGACCAATATCGGCCGATAACGATATTATTGCCGATATATTGTGCATCCCTAACTAGAATGCACAAACATAGAGATCAGCATAATGGCTATTGAACAAAGTACTATGGCATTTCTACCTCGGTTTAAATTGCATCTCCTGATGTAGTTTAAATGGGACCTATTATGCAAAATTCACTTTTTAAAGTTTTTTTTACTCAACTTTGGGTATGTACTTCTTAAAAAACAGTCCTAGGACCAAAAAAAATGCACCCGGGGGCATATTTACTGTAAGTAAATATATTTTTAATGTGTATTAAGGACAAGTTTTATACTTCCGTCATTTTGTGATGTTACAAGCCGTACGACAACCCACCGGAACCTGCGTTCAGTTCCTTACCTAGCAACCCCCGGGTGAGACTCCTCCTCCTCAGTATAAAAAGCCGTCACGGTTGTTGTGCAATGTGCAGCTCATTTCACAACAAGCCTCCAATAGGGTAATGGGTAGAGTCTTGGACCAGAGAGCGGGAGACCAGGGTTTGAGACCGGTACGGACACAGCTTAATTATTTATTTATTTTCGTTCATTATGAACACGTTTTCTTATGTACCTCTATTGTTTAGCTTATTAAAGCCTTGTTAAAGCCTATTTGTTCGAGTTTCTGAGGTATTTTGACCACTGCTGCTCCCTGCTCTGGTAACAGCATGCAGAGTGAGCGCAGAGCAGAGGAGGGAGAGAAAAAAAAGAAGCTGGGACCACGACTCTGCCTCTGGGTCTCATGGTTGTACAACGGAGCTTCTGCTGTTATTAGCCATGCTAACGTAAACGCTGGCTTTGGAGGGCGGAGTTAATGTCAACAGATTTTTGGAGGGRGGAGTTAATGTCAACAGATTTTTGGAGGGCGGAGTTAATGTCAACAGATTTTTGGAGGGCGTTACCAACAGAGCTCATTAACATAAACAGCTCTTCTGAACAGAAGTCAGAGCNGGCGTTACCAACAGAGCTCATTAACATAAACAGCTCTTCTGAACAGAAGTCAGAGCAGCAGAACTAGAAAATGGGAAATTTTATTATCTGAGAATTATTTTGTGCATTAAATTGAATGAACATGGTCTGGATAGCCCACAGACATACCATAAACATTTCTACGACCCATAATTGGTCTCCTTTAAGAATGCAAACATAATTTGTAAACTTTTTTCCTCTAAGAGTTTGAGCTTCCGTCACCATGTTGCTTTGGTCATTTTATGAATCACAGAGTCAGGAAGAATGCATCACATTCCTGTCTTAAGTGTTCTGTGAAACAAGCTGAGGGAAATAAGCAAATTTAGTTCCTAGATTTAGAAATTTTTTGATTAAGAAACAATCTGATGCTTTATATTGATTTTCTCACCAATTTACTACCTTCCTTGTCCTTCAGTATGAAAGCTAAATATATTGCACTGCATAAGTCTTGATTCTGTTTCTCTTTTTTCATGTTTTGTTTCAGGTGTTGGACAAGCACAGAGCTATGGACAACATGGTGGATCTGCTACAAGTGTATCCAGAAGAAGACGAGGCATACGGAGACCTGCTGGAGGCTACGACTCAACTCTATCACTACTTGCTTCAACCCTTCAGGGACATCAGAGAACTGGCAACTCTGCGCCGACAGCAAATTAAGGTAATACAAGTACACAGAAACAAATACCATCTGTTTTCAAGCTTGATTTAAGTAGGTGTTGATCCTGAAATAGCCAGCTTACTGCTCTGTTCTTGAAGACAGTTTTTCTTGTTTCAGGCTGCCTTTCTACATCAGTGAAGCCCACTAGTTTTAGAGACTTTTTTGTGGTTTGGTTAGTACTGATCACAAACCCTCGTCCTCCGAGTGTACCCCCATAGGCTTACTGTTATGGCATTAACATTAAATGCTTATGCTTGTGTCTTGATGATGATGGCACAGGATCAGCCAGAGAGGCTTTATTCCTCACCCAGAGCAGATTAACAACCAGCCTTAAGTATTATTACAGCAGCCACTAAACCACTGAGTAATTCTGCAGCCTCAGCCCTCTTCGGTTTACAACACTCGTTCTCTACTCTCGTTGTTGCCTTTCTTCATCTGATGCTTAAGAATACAGTAGTAAAAGTCCAGGAGCTGCTTTTCAGCGTTATCCAGTGTCCTGTTGTGTAAGATACAGTCAGTAAGTCAGCGTCCTGCCTGTTTAAAGACAACAAATGTATGTTTTGTATTTTTGAACTTCAAAAGATTTTGACAAGTTTGAGTTTTTCTATGATCAGGGCCAGTCTTTAGAATTTTTTTCCGATAAACAACGCCTGGTTTTATCTTTATTTATTTAAATGTTTTTGGGGGAGTGGGGGAGGCGGGGTGTCAATGTGTTCTTTATTACAAAATAAAAAAATTGCTTAACTTGAATTAAATAATTACATATTTTAGGGCTGCAGCTACCAGTTATTTTTGTAATCGATTATTCTGTTGATTAATTGGACAAAATTTCTACAGTAACTACTTAAGCTTATTTTATGACTAATACTTCATATTGTGTAATCTACATCTGCTGCAATCAAAGTAAAACTACTATACCAGTTTTTATTTGAGTCATTTAAAGCTCCAATTGCTTGTATTTATTTGTGAGGTTTGAGAGTGCGTTAATTGAAACTCTGTTATTGAATAGTTTTTAACCATAAATGCATTTTAACGTTAGCCAAAATAGACCTCCTCCTTGTACATCTGTAACATGAGTCATGTTACATGTCACATTATCACAGATTTAGTTAAATATATTTTGCAAAGGTAATGTAAGCAATGCCTGTTTGTTGTATGCAGCAACTGTTTTCTGTTCTGGTGCTGACACATGAGGCTGGGTTATCTTTTCAGTTTAGTTTAAAATGTTCCCATAAGTTTGACAATTTCTGTGCTTTCATAGGTGCTCTGTTTTAGGATAGGATAGAACTTTATTGATCCCACAGTGGGGAAATTTGAACATTACAGCAGCTCTAAACAGTGGAGTTGCAGTAACAGGCTGCCTGCCGTGGCGCCATCTTAAACAAAGAAAAACTGAAAACGCACAAGGGAAGGGAAGATGAGGAAAAAAGCAAAAACATCATATTATATCAACACTGTGACACACTATGGTGTTTATGAAAAAAACCTCTGCATACAGCAAGTTTATTAGCCAAATGAGTAAGTCAGTTTAAGGGGGCCCGAAGAATCCAGTTCCCAAACCAATCCCCAAACAGTTACAACTAGTTCAGAAATATTGATGGAAACTGTTCATTTCTGTGCAGCTTTCAGCCTGCTCTGGAAAACAGAATTAGACGGGTGAGAGGAGGGGGAAGGGAGGGGGCAGAGCCGAGTCGACACATCCATCCAGGAAGAATTTAATCAACAGATCCAAGGCCGTTGTCGGGGAGATCCAGATTCTGTAATCACTTTTTTTGGGAACAGAAGAGACAAGCTGACAACAACAATTTTCCATCTGCTGTAGAGTTTCTGCTGGTACTCTCAAGGTGGCGATTCCAATCAGGCAAAATGGTGTGGACAAAATTCCGCCGAGCCAAGTCTGTCAGATTCCTCCAAGATCAGTTACATCTGGCCAGCAAACTCCAGGGACCACAGCCGGCCCGCGACCTTCAATAGAACTGCTTGCAGACTGAGTCCAGCTCACTCAAGGCAAAATGTCCAAGTTCTGATAGAATCCAGCCATCCATCGAGTTGGTCAGTCAGCCAAGAGATGAACAGCCACCGACGCTGTTTTGTAGAACACCAGGAGACCACCCAGCCAATCTGTAGAATCCAGTGATCGGAGTCCAGACATAAATCCAGAACAGAGAAGAACAGAGGTCCCACCTTTGACATGTCCTCCCATGGAAGAAGAAAAAAACTTTGTTCCAAGAATTTTATTGAGAGACCAGCTAACCAAATCCATAAAAATAAAAAAATAAAAAATATCCATGATTTCTTATTTCGGATGAAAAATGTAGAGTGGCTCCAAGCAGCAAAGCAGGGAAAGATAAGGAAGGGCAGGAGAGAAGGAAAGAGTGTCTTACTCCTTCGAGAGCGGAAACAAAACAAACAAAGAAAAAAAAAACAGTACCGAACAGCATGTTTTTTAGGACTCTTAATCTCACTTGATAGCTAAAAATATCACTTAGCATACATGCACCTACAGTGTAGCCATTAGCAGAAGCACAAGCTTTGTGCAACACTAACATTCTGGCTGATGACTATTTTAATAGTAATTATTTTTAACAAAGCTTCAAAACAGTTAATTTGTACTTAAATCATTTTTTTAAAGTAAAGACCATTTTTTTCATTGCATGTTGCAGCCCTGCTATGCGTGCTGTACAGCGGGTGGGAGGGAGAAATGATGATGATTTATCCCATTTATATGATTTATAATTTTATATTTCTTAATTTATTTTCAGAATATTTTGATTAAATGGACATATAAAAAAAGAAATAGTTTGCATTCCTGGTTGGGCAGGCATCGGGACACATCGACCTGCCCAAATTTGTGTGGTATTTGTGGAACTCTGAGTAAGATTTTATTTTACAGACAAACGTTCAATTATCAGCACAAATGCAAATAGTATGACAGTAATGTGTGTGTATTTCATTGGTGTGTATGTGTGCAATGTGTCTGCAATCTACATGCATGTGTGCAGTATTTGTGTCAATACAACTAGTCATGTCATCTCTAGTTTATTAAATAGGATTTAAAGTAGGGCTGGGCGATTATTTGATTGCGATTATTGATAGAGAAAAAATTCAGGTCGATCACGGTGATCAGCTGTGAACCCTTTCCTCGATCAAACATGATGGAAATGTGTGCAACAACAGCCAATCAGAAGCCACCTTCTCCTGCTCCACTTCTGTTTATAAGTTGTTAATGAAACACGGACGGAATCGCAGACTTAACCAAACAAAATGTAAGCCAGTACAAAACGCTGAATCTCACAGAGTTTGCTTATTTGGGCAAGTTTCAGAGGTATTTTGGCCACTGTCGCGTCCTGTACCTGCTGTTACCTGCTAACAGGGCATGTCATGTTTACACTGTGTTGCTCTTAGATGAACCTCTTGCTGATTCGGGTGGTGCAGAGTGGGTGTCCTGTTGCCTGGAAGGTCCGAAGGCCACTATGAATTAAATATGTGGATCAACCTGTTTCAGGTAGTTTGTACCAAAGTGAGATCCAGTTACTACAGTCATATGGCTTCCATCTGACACAATCATTCCTGACACACCTGCTGGTGTTTACCTCCATCTGTCAGGCAAATTGTACTCAAATTTGGAAACGTCACACAGCAAAATATGCAAATGATTGAGTCCTGTGACCTGGATTCATTTAAAGCAAACTGAATGCAACTAATGTAACTTTGTCAGCTTAAACTAATCTATTGTAAATACACTTTAGTTTTTTAACTTGGATAATTCAAATTCAAGAATCTGATGCAGTTGTAAAAATTTTATGAAAGTTTGCAATTTGATTTTAGTATTTTTCTGATCTAGAAGTTTGAAAAAACAAAACTTGTATGTTTACAGACGTTATTTCCTTTTCCATTTTGTAGTACATACTTGGTTGAATAAAAACAAAAGACCAAGAGCTGATTTTATATTTTACATGTATAAAAGATTATTATTGTTGTGGTTTTAGTTCAAAACTGAACTATTTCCTTTTTACACACTGGCCTAACACATGTTGCAAACATTTGCCATGTTGGAAATACTTGATGCAAGTTATTCACAATATACTCCAACTGATTTTGTATTTCAGCTGGAAATTTTTTTTACAAGAACATCATGTTTTGTTAAAAAAGAAAATACTTAATTTCAAAAATTGTTTTACTACTAGCCATCTTTTATTTGTGCTAAACATTGACATGAAAGATGTGTGCTTAAATACCAAAAATGCTGATTCTTTTGGTATTAAAGATGACAATCTTTAAAAGATGTAAACAGTTCAAATGAACCATTTTATTTCCAATGGTTTCCTATTGAAAAACATTTTTATTATTATATTTTGCCACAAAATAGTAGATAAAGGCTTCTTGTTATGTAAATCTGAAGATTGACTCTTAAACCTATGTACTTTAAACAGCTGCTCAGCGTCTTCTCAGTCTAAATAAGATTTGTTGGCCCTGTCGGCTCCAGCTGCCTGATACGTTTTTACATGTCTTTGTGACACTCTCAAAGTGTTTATTTATTGATTTACCCAAACGAGATAAGGACTCACCATGACATTCTGCAGGTATACTCCTAGTGTTTAACTTGTGTCACCTAGACCTGTCACGATAGACAATAAATCAACTAATTGCACGATAACTTTTTTTGAGGTCGGTAAAAAAATGAGGTCGATAAGTTTCATTTTCCTGCTTGTTTGTTTACTTCGTGCCTCTCCCTCACTGCTCCGCTGCACAGGAGCTCAGCTGACTCCTCCCCTCCTGTTTTCTTAGTGTGGGAGGAGTCAACTCTTGCTTGAGCATGAGAGCTCGTTGCCAAAGAAACATTTCAAAGCAGAACGCGGCTGCTGAAGTGTCGGAGCACTAGAGCCTGAATTTCGCTAGAGAGAGAGAGAGAGAGATTGAGATTGAGATTGAGAGAGATTGAGAGAGAGATTCCCTGTGTAGGTTTCAGAACAGGCTCCAATCGGGGAATTGGAAGTTTTACAGGAACATTTGATCCAGGAAAGGTAGCAGCTGGTTTATCCTCCGTCACTGTAGCTGCTTTTGAAACGAGAACGTGCGCGAATGCGCTCTGCGGGCAGTGACGTGGGGGATGGGCGTCAGAAGCTCGTTCACGAACAAACTTCTGTTTTCATTGGCTGTTAATTTTTGGGTAAGCCTGGATTTTTCTAAAGCCTGTAGTACCACCGGGAAAAACAAGAGGACTTTTTTTTCCCCCTCATAGCTCACCTGTCTAATATCAATCTGTCAGGAGATAGTGAC